TTTAGTCTTTCTCTTTTAGTCTCTCTCTCCATTTCTCTTTCCCTCTCCCTCTTCCTCTCCTTCTCTCTCCCTTTTATCTCAGAAATCCTCTCATTGTGTTTTCTTCTACATCTAGAGGCCTTACATTACCTGGAGATATACTTCTTGGTTAGAGGCAGACTAGGGAGAAAAGAATTTTGACAGGGACAGACTATAAGGGGACTAGCTGACTGGCAGGGTCAGAGAAGGTAGGCCTGAAGTTGCAATAGGGCAACCTATTGACAAACATCTCCTGTGAAATTATTTTGAGATATTGTAATGATATTTTCAAGTAAACTGAATTTGCTAACAGCTTTTAAAGTCAAGAAATATTTTAAAATAACTATGTCTAATTATCCTTATTAGTTTGATATATATTTGTTATACTATTATAACAGTTTTTAATGAGCATATACTATTTTTCTTGCTCTGTGTACAACAAACCAATACAGGTTTTGAAACACTGTGATCTAAGACATCATTCTATATTTCAGTCACTAACAAGTTAGACAATTTGCCTGAGACCACATGGGATGTAGATGATCACTAGGCCTCTGTTACTCTCTCATGGCAATGTTTAGGTAGAATGATGATTGCTTTATTTCGTCAGGAATGGGCTTCCAATCATTGTAGATCTTCCTGACCTAGGCTTGGGAAATTTCCAGTGTAGAATACAAAGGCAGAGCTTATTGTGCTAAGCAGTGAAGATGTTTTGTCTGTTCTTACCACAGTGGAATTGCTAAGATTAAACAACTCTGCCTTATGTTTTAGCCAGTTCTGTATACCTTGCCCTACAGAGAGATAGAGAACAGGGTAATTTCCATAAAAAGTCAATTTTTGTTTCTCAAGGTCTAATCTATATTTTAAAAATTTTGTTAAATCTTTTAGTCTATTTCTCATTATCTGAAAAGAACCTATGGGGGGGATTCATTTCACTTTGTATGTATATAACAAAGTACTGAAAAATGTATTACTGTGTTGTGATTAACTGTTATTATTTGTGACTGCTATTTCCAATGGGCATTATATTTCTTATTTTTGTTTGTGATTTAAGCAACAAAATAAGTTTTTACACTGCAGGAACTCCTAAAACACTTACTGAATGATTATAATTATATTTTCTATGAACCAGTACTGTTTATTCCTTCAGGCTGGTCTTGTCCCTGATCAAATAAGCTCAACTTTTACTTTAGTCCACACTTTATGTCTGTTTAAGTGCCATTGTCCCTTTCCATAGCTCAAGCATGTACAACTCTGGCTGGGTCCTGGTGTGAGTCAGACCTTCACCTACTTTTGGATTCCTGCCCCCTGGGACAGCATAGTCTTTTGGGCCAGCACTGCTGAGAGACCTCAGCAATGCTGGCTCATGCTGAGTCATGCTGAGTCATGCTGAGGCTTAGGGTGTGTGGCCAGATGTTTTCAGTCTTGTGTGATGTCTGTTATCTGGGTCTCTAGCAGGAAACTTACAAAACAGATGGTAAGAAAAGGAGAAGTTTCCTACCTGACTAAAATCCCACCTCAGCTAGGATCTTAGAAAGAAAGGGATCCCTAAGACAGAATGACATCCTAAACTATATTATTTCCTGATTTAAAAGAATACTTGATTGTCCTTATTAACACCATATAATCAATGACTTTGAATCAGATATTCATCTTGCACATACATAGAAGCAGCAAAATCATACTTTTCCAGTACATACATATGGATTTTTAGTTTATAAAAGATATACCTATTAATGAAATGCTGTCAGAGTACTTTGAACCTGTGCTAGGGAGTTCCATAACAATACTCATGTAATCCAGGGTAAAAATTAAGTGTCCTTCACTGCATAAATTTGTGGCAGGGTGGATAGTCAAGGGATTTTCCCAGCTCTTAACATTCTAGGATTCTGTGTACTGAATGTGTCCTTCACAAGAAGTGCTAGAGATCTCAGCACAAACAGAGAATATGTGAGGAAAACATAAAAAGAAGCAGAGAATACTAGGGACATCAGTCAGACCTGACTCAAACTTCAAGCTTGTGTCCTCCAAGAGCCCAGGCCCTAGTGCTGCTCAATGGAACCAGCAGGCCAGTCTAGTGCTACCACTTTTATGGGGAAGAGGGAGGCAATTTCAAGTTTGCAAAAAGATGCATCCCTCGAGAAAGGCTACCAGCAAATGCTAACATTGAGAAAAGACATAATTAAAGAATATTTATAAAGGCAGTAGAATACAAGAGAGTTACATGTGTAATGACTATGAGACAGGCTCTAATACAAAGCCATTTAAATCAAGGAAGAAAAAAAGGGTGGTAAAAGAGAAAAAATTCGGGAGATCTATCTAGAAAGAATATGAGCGATATCAGAACAAAGGGAAATTTGTGACTAAAATCCCAGAGAATTATTCATTATTAATTAGTTTAATATTCATCATGTTGCTGACACAATATTCTTAAAACTCTTTAACAAAAGGAAGATTCATTTTTATTTGTTTTGGGCCTGAAAATTATGTAGATGTTCCTGAGGAGATGGTTGTCTATTTCTGTCTCTAACACAGTGATGAGCACTGTGCCTAAGGTACAGTACATGTTCAATGCTTTGCTTGTTAGAGTGAAGCATATTTTTCTTATTCTATTCTACACACAGAGAGTAACTCATGTGGAATGTAGGAACACTCTTATGGAAACAAATCGAACTTTCGAATGTAATTGAGTATTAAGAGGAAGAAGAAATAGGTCCCTAGTCCTCTACTCCCAGTTCAGATTCCCCATCAAAGTCTCTCACTGCAGAATTATGGATAGCACTGTTTCCTTCCTCCAAGAAAGTGAAATTCCTACAGCTAGTGGGGCCCTGCTTTGAAAGCCAGTAATCTTCATCCAAAAAATATTGGTTGATTTTGCTTTGATTAAAGATCTAATAGGAAAACAAGACAAAAGAGATTTCTGATTTCCCTGTCTACCCACTGACACTCTCTTCTCTAATGCCAGTTTCAAGGTGGTGATTCTAATGAATGCCTAGTTAAGATTTAAAATTTCCATGTAAACTAGTGCAACCATTATGGAACTCAGTATGGAGGTTTCTCAAAAAACTAAAACTAGTGATTCCACTTAAGCGGGATATTCCTCCTCTTTCTGTCTGAAAAAGTCAAAGACATCGTATTACAGTGACACATGCATATCAATGATCATAACAGCACAACTCATAATAGCTAAATCAAAGAAATACCCTATTTACCCATCAATGAATGAAAGAATAAGGACAATGTATGAACACTCAGAGTTTTTCTCTGCCATAAAGAAAGATAAACTTGAGTCATTCAGAGGAAAATAGATGTACCTTGAGACTATAGTTAAGTGAAATAAAGCAGACACACAAGCTCAAACATTACATGGTTTCTCTTATATGAGAAAGGTATAACTAAAAAGCAAAACAGAAGATCAATAATAGGAAATAGGGAGATAGCTCTTTTCCCAAAGATATGTTATATACATGTACCAAGTGCTCACATTAAAACATTTTAAAAATCATCATGCTGATATATACTCACACCCTGAAACAGACATACACATGTGTCCACACACACACACACTATAATCCCATGTCCAATTTCAGAATATTCAATTGAATTTACATTTAAAAATGTATACATAGGCAAGTAAAAATGTATCCAGAGCATGCTCATTGATACCACCCTGGTCTAAGCCACTATCATCACACTTAAGTTATAGTTGTAGACTCTGGTAGTCTCTCTGCTTCTAGTTCTTCCCTTTTACTGTGGCTTGGCAACACAGTAGCCAAAGTAACCTTTTAAAATGTAAATCATATTTGGTCACCTCTTGATTTAAAACCTTCTGATAGCTTTCTATGTCAACCATAATAAAACCAAACCTTTACAATTTTTTATAACGATTGTTAATGCTTATGTTAGCAGACAAAATCTTGATTGGGTTAATGAGTTCCAGGGTCAAATTCATTTGTGTTGCTCTGATACTTTCTCTTAAGCTAGTCAAAATGAAAAGCATCAAAAACTAAAATATAAACCAAGTTATTTATTTGTGTGGATGTATTTATAATTGGAATACTTAGGTGTATGTGGGAAATAAATTGTTTCTTTTTGTCAACCAAACAAAAGTAGAGGAATTCAAGGCAGGAAACCACATGCAATCATACTACCAGAGCAGGCCTTATCCCAGTGGTTTGAATGTGACACGCTCTTTCAGCTGCATGCAAGGAGAGCCGGGGTCTAGGCACCAACATCCAAAACATCACTACGGTATCAGCCAACAGTTCACTTTTCTTGCTTTCATCACTGGCCTTTTCCTTTATATATCAGAACATTCCATGAGATTGGAGTTAAGAGTTACTGGAATGGAAGTCATGCTGTCTCCTTCAAATGACTTTGAATATCTCTTGGTGTGCTTTTTCTTCCTTCCTTTCTTTCTTTCTTTCTTTCTTTCTTTCTTTCTTTCTTCTTTCTTTCTTTCTTTCTTTCTTTCTTTCGTCTTTCCTTCTTTCTGAACAAAATCTCAGGTGAATTGAAGAATATAATTTATTTCTCTGTAATTTATTTATTTCTAAAGCTTGTAAATTCTATAACCAACATATGCTTCAACTTTTGCTAATAGTGACATACTTATAACCATATACTGGCATGATTATAAGTAATACATAAATATATGTGCACACACATACAAATATATATATATATATATATATATATATAACAAAATGTACTCATCAGATATTTTAAAGCAATTAACTGTACCAAATTCTCAAAAACTGGCGCATTTCCTTTCTTTTGTCTACTTCTGAAGGAACCAAGGATAGGGACAGGAGGTGGTATCAGGAGCCCTAGGCTCTCTCTGTCCCACTGTCTCAGCCCCTCCCTTGCTACAGCTCTGTGCAGTCTGGAGCACTTATCGACATCCACAGGTTTTGACTCCACCCAGCTATCACCAGTCTAAGTACCCAGGAGAAGAAAAACACCAGATCCATCTGCTTGAGTTTTTAAAATACAAAATAAAGTAAAAGAATCCTTAAAGTCCCCCTAAGAAAAATGAATATACAAAACAGGTAAATAAATATTTTTAAAGACAAAAATAAAAGAGCAAAAGAAGGGGGTGGGCAGAAGAAAGCAGGTGCAGAAGGGGGTCGGTGACACTAGGACCTGCTGAGGAATGAGTGCAGAGGGAACTTCTAGGAGACTGGAAGAGTCTGGGTTTTTTTGTGGATAATGGTAGATGAATTTGCTAATGGATGCAGTCTAACCATTACTATTGCTTCTCTCTGCTCTACAATCCTTAATTTAATCTTTTCCTAGAGAGAAGTAGAATTTTAATTCAAGAAATATGGTATGTTTTGGCTCAAATATAGAGCATTTAAAATAATTAAGATAGATAGGTAAGAAGTAATTTTTTAGGAATTAAAAAATCACCTGATCAAATACTTCCCACTTTGACAGTAGAGGAGTTTTTAACATAAAACTGAAGCTTTTCTGACAGTTCTTGATACAAGATTCTAAACTCTGTGTCTAAAGGAATCTCATTTGAATCTACTTTATGTAGAATATTTTGAGAATACGTATGCTTTAGAGGCCTCACGATTGAATAACATTAGTAAATTATTAGGATTTAAATCTTGGGAAAAAGCAGTGAAATTTGGCCTAATAAACCAAGGTAATATAGTAAACTGAAATAAAAAAAATTTTTTAAAACATTTGATCTAATAATTATGTGTCTGGCTATTTCATTTCATTTTTATTTTTAAATTGTTCTTAGTTCAGAGAATACATTAAGGGGTATTACTTTACATAAACAAAGAAAAGTATAGCATTTTCTAAAATTTTAATTATGAAAATAAATGAAAAGATTTTCTTTTCAAGGTGAAAAAAATGTCAAAGAAATTAAAGCCACATTTTGGAGGACAATGGGACACATATGACCTCGCTAAATTACCAAATTCGAGTTTTAAAATTCAAAGTCTATCATTCAGGAAAATGGAGTAACTTGTTAGCTCTGACTTTCCATCTGTACTTCCCTGTCCAATTTAATTAACCTTCACATGTACCCTGGGCTATGTGTTAGGCAACATGGCTCCAGAGCTCAACTGATGTCTATGCTCTTAAGGGGTTGGGAAAGGGGTCATCCTAAAATGAGACACAACTCTGGACAGAATCCGTCTGTAATCCACAAACTTTGTAAGACACGGATCTGAGACATCCTGTGTTGCATGTGGAAGTATTGCATGACTACTGATTGTGTCTATTCTTTCCTTCTTTGTAGTGACAAGAGTTCCAAGAACTGGAAAGAGTTCATGAGCTTCCTGCAGAGTAAATATTTAAAAATTTTTTATTACTGGTGGCACTCAGTCATCTTTGGCTATTGTGCAACATAATAAAGCCTTTTGGCACTATTTCTGTTATGAGAATAAAAATGCAAATTCATGCTCAAAGAGTAATTTGCAATCCTAATTAATAATCCTCAGAAGATTTCCCCCATTTTTGGTTTACAAATGTTATTCTTAATTTTTTTAAATTTAGAATTAACAATGAAAGAACTGGTTTACTATAAAAAATATCCATTGAAGAAAATATTTTTCTTATTAACACATGGAAAAGATATAGTGAACTACAGGGCTTACTTTATGTTTCAACAATTTAATTTATATAATTTTCCATACTAGAGCATGAAAAAATTAATATGTTTGTCTTTGGAATAAACAGATGCTATAAATTAGGTAACAAAACTTAAGAAAATATATTTTTCCTATATATTTCTTACAATGTCTTAAAGACTTATGGTGCTAAAACCCAGCCCAGAACTTACAAAACTACAAGGAAACCCTTAGAGACAAGATTTATTTTCATTAAATTTAGTATTTTATAAAAAAAAAAGTTTTTTGTTGTCATCAACTATCTTAGGACATGCAGAGTTTTAATTTGATTAATTCTTATACAAGCCATACATACATTTTTTTTTTTTTTTTTGGCTATTTAATCATTCTAATGAGTCCTTGATACTCATGTCACTTAGTAAGCTTTGGGTTTTTAATTCAGAAAAAAAAGAGACAAGTAATCACTTATTGTTTACAGGAGAAAGAAACGCAATGTTTAAAAAGCATTAGCTGAGGCAGTTTAGCTTGTGTCAACAGCACCCTAACAGTGATGCAAATGCATTCACCTGGACTTCAAACTTCTTCATTCTGACCTGAAGCAGGTCAGGAGGAGGAGGAGGGGGAGGGAGAGGGGGAGGGGGAGGGGGAGGAGAGGAGGAGGAGGAAGAAGATAAACCTCACTGTGAATTGGGAGGAAGATGGGGAACACCCTTAGGGTTTGTTTCAGGGCCAGGCATTTTTCCTAAACTCATGGATTTGAAAGGTCTATCATTATATCATGAGCTTTGATAGTCTCTGATCCACAAAGCTAATTTCTGAGGAAAGGGTTATAGCTTTCACACTGTGAGCCAAAGAAAGTTTGCCTTAGAATCCCACGCTTTATTCACTGATTCTTTATTAACCCAGGAACTCTTCTTTCCAGAATAGCCAACTGCTTCTCTATATAAAATGTTTTCTCTCTTAATCAAGACTGTTTTCTTTCTCAGCTGTATATTTGAGGACAGTGAAACATACACTAGGGTCTACAGAACACTAAATAGGTTAGATTTATGGTGTAAAAAGCCCATGTTTATTTTTTATTAATCTTTAGCTGAAATTTTGCATTCATTTTCTACTTTGAGTGTAGTAACAAAACAGTAGCTATAAATAGAAGTCACAGATCTTTTAGAAGTATTAGAGTATACTGCTTTTGTTGGTATCTTTAAATAGCGAGTAATTAATTATTTTACTTGCTTGTAGTATTATGAGTTGTGTGGCTGTTGTTAGATCTAATGCATTCATAAAGAACTATACCTGACACTACACTAAAAATGGATGTTATTGTACTTGATAACTGTATTTCAAAAGAAATAATCTCAGTCATGCATATATTATTTTATACATTGACAAATAGAGTATTCAACAGTCATCAGCCTGTCAAATCAGTCTGCTGTAAAAATAAATAAATAAATAAATAAACAAATAAATAAAATTATATCTCAATTCTGTCCATGTGGGCCATTGGAAAAGAACTTATGCCCAGAAATATATTATTGATTAAAAGCTAAAAGAATATGGGCTAGGGAAGTGCTAACTTGGAAAATGTCACTAAATCAGACCTAAACTTCTACAGTAATAAGAAAAAGCATTTTCATGAACTAGGAGTTTGTATCACACCATAAGAAATTACCATGCACATTAAGGCAAGGTGATTAAGAAAAGCAAACTTGAAATATGGAGACCTGAGAAAAAGAATCATATGACTAAATGAAAAAGAGCCAGCATGAACTAGAGCACCAGAATGCAATGACAACAACAAAATAAACTAGGCAAAAGAATAAAAACCAAGCATTGTAGCAAAGGAAACTTTCATGACTGGCAGGTAAAAGGGAACAACAGAAGAGTGAAGGGATAGAAATAGAGACTGGAAAGGGCAGTTAGACAATGGTGATACAGGTAAACTTTTCTGGACTCAGCAAAGCTTGAATGTGTGTAACCCTATCTCCCCTGCTCCTTAGTCATCAACTCTCTCTTGTTGACAGTTGAATAACTTCTGTGACCTTTGTTCCTTCATCCTTAAAAATTTGGATAATAGCGATTATATTACTAGATAAAGACACAGTTAAATAACATAGAAAACATTTTTCAAGTTTACAGATGGAACTGAATACATATAAACGTAGAACTCCCATTTCAGCTCCAATATGTAAGACCCAGAAAGTTACAACTAGTCCAAAACACAAAGACACTAGAAGAATTAGAATCTTTTGCACTTAAAACTACAACAAATACTAAAAATGCCCCAGCTTCTCACATGATTAACGTATCGATGAACTCGTTCTTCATTTTGATCACAAATCTTGGTACAAAATAATCTTAGCTTCTTCCTCAGCTGTCCCACTGCTTAAAAGTATGAGTAAGACAGAAAAGCAAAAAGACATCTCAGAGTTATATCCCATAAGTAGCCAATTTCTTCTCTTATCACAGAGAAATGGAAAAAACATAATTCTCTGGAAGCACAGGATGTGGTGGTGTTCTATCTACCCTCTCTGAAAAATCACTCTCTGGTAGTCTACTTTGGAATCAGAGTCTTATTTCTATGGCAAATCACTTGGTACTGTGCTCCATTTCCACAAGTAACCATGGGCTGTTTTTGTTTTACTTAGAAAATATATGGAAGTTTATGTTACAAGCCAGTCTTCAAGACAGAATCCAAAGAGATTCTGTGTCAACAGCATTAAATTCTTTATTTCTTGATGTTGTTCTTTTCACTGTTAGCATCCTGAACTTAAATGTTGAAGTTGTTTGGATTGGAACTATTTTTCTATCTTGAAATTAACGCCTCTCTCCTTGGAAAAGGGTGGCGGGATAGATGAGTATTAATTATAGTGGGAGATTTCATGGGGAGAGAAGAGAGTGAAAGAGAGCATAATTATGTTGCAGCTGGAGAAGTTTCCAAAAAAGTAAGGATGGCTCAGAATTCAGCACACGTTATCATAAACTCAGTGTGCATTCTTTGCTGCTGACCGTCCTCTGACCAGGCCACACCCATTAGGGACACTGCTCAGCTTGACCAATGACTTCAAAGTCCTGGGGAAGGGAAGGGGCCAGAACCTCACCAGTAAAGAATAAAAGGCGACAGTTTCCAGGGGCAGTACATATCTGCTTCTGACACTTCTGTGATCACCAGCAAGCTTCTGGACCTAACATCATGGTGCATTTTACCACTGAGGAAAAGAGCATCATCAATGCCCTGTGGGGCAAAGTCAATGTGGAAGAGACTGGAGGCGAAACCTTGGGAAGGTAAGCACAGAGCATAAAGCTTCCCTTGGAAACTGTCTAGGAAATGCCTCAAGGTTTTTGAATGTCTCTGATTTTCTGTGTTATTATCCTATCTTGTAGGCTCCTTGTTGTGTACCCCTGGACTCAGAGATTCTTTGACAACTTTGGCAACTTGTCTTCTCCCTCTGCCATCATGGGCAACCCCAAGGTCAAGGCCCATGGCAAGAAGGTGCTGACCTCCTTCGGAGAAGCCATTAAGAACCTGGACAACCTCAAGGGCACCTTTGCTAAGCTGAGTGAACTGCACTGTGACAAGCTGCATGTGGATCCTGAGAATTTCAGGGTGAGTTCTGGGAAAGTTCAGATGCTCTTTTGGTATTTTACTTAGGGACAATAATGGAAGCTGTCACTATGATTGGAAATGTCAACAGAGATGTCAGAAGTCATGCATTAGTTTGACACTAGAAAGACAGATGTCCTGTGGGCATAACTAAAACCCGCTCGATAAACAAGGATAGTGGCATCAGTAATTAGAGGCCCTTAAATTGCTGATAGCTGATGATAAAACTTTGTCATAACCGTATGAATTTATCCTGGAGAATAATGCTAGAGAATAGAAAATTTTTCAAGGACAGCTAGAATTTGGCTTTTGGTAGATATATGTTTATTTTAAGGGATAAGAAATGCTTGATTGAATGCATGTTCTAATTATAGAAGTTTAGATACAGATTTTGAGAAAATTTAAAGAAGATTAAAAAAGATTTTTTCAATATAAATCAAATTCTCTAAAAATCTATTAAATTCTCTTTGAGTATTTTGACCAAAACAAGTCTCCTTCCATATTTGGTGAGAGGTTTAAAACTGCTTATAGCATGGAAATTTTGTTTACAGAAATTAAACAATTGTTGAATAAGGAGAGGAAGAAAAGCAAATAAAAATGGCAAAATGGGAAGAGAATAAGGAGATAGATGGCAGAATGTCAAGTAGGGGTTCATAAAAATGAAACTGAACATAAGCCCTTCAGAAATAACGATAGGCTGCTTGGAGTCCCAGTTGTGAGCCAGTGAAGGTATGAAGCCATTTCTTCCCCTGCGGGTTCTCACTTGGAAATTGTAGTCAATCTTCCTTTGTGTTACTTTGTTTCGTCCACAGCTCCTGGGTAATGTGCTCCTGATTGTTCTGGCCACTCACTTTGGCAAGGAATTCACCCCTGATGTGCAGGCTGCCTGGCAGAAACTGGTGTCTGGAGTTGCCATTGCTCTGGCCCACAAGTACCACTGAGCTCGTTTCTGCAGTCTGCCAGCACTCCTGTGTGCCCCCGATACCCTCCTTCTGCTCATGGGGACTGGGATGGGCCTTAAAAGTACAACTTCTTTTCAATAAAAATTATTCTCTTCAGTTATCAAACATTGATGTTTTGTTTTCTCCATCTTTTACCCTTGTATTAAAGGGAAAGCATTCATGGGCTGAAGGGTGTTGCAGTGTAGGAAGAAATGAAAGAACCTTTCAGAAGCATGCAGGAACTCATCAACATACTTGTCAGTGGAAGATCAAAATGGGGAGGATGCTCTATCCAGAGCAAGGGTTAGTTAAGCAGGCAGAGATGTGTGGGGCAATGCGGCAAAAACTGCTGCAGAGAGGAAAAAGGATGAGCCTGGTGGAAACTGAGAAAGCAAAGATGTGATCAATGCCAAGTTTCATTAAAAATAAAATGCAAAATCTTTGCAGGATTTGAGGTCTAAACGAAGATTACTAATATAAATCATTCTAATATACGTTTTGAAGCAGCTACCTTGCCATGGCTTTTGAGATTGACTTGGAGATAAGGAGATAAGTTAAGGGAGTTTTTCTGAGTTTTGCAGAAAAAGTCCACATGACTTAACAATAGCTTGCTCTTTTCCAAAGGGTCCTTTTGTCTTTTTTTTTCTTTGACACGAAGTCTCACTTTGCAGTTCAGGATGGCCTTGAACTCACTTTGTAGTCTAGGCTGACCTTGTGCTCACAGTGATCCGCGTGCCGCAGCCTCCTGAGGGCTGGGATTGCAGGTGTGTGTCACCATGCCCAGCTGGGGAGCCAAGAATAAAACACATGGAATCGCTGTGCATCATCTGGAAGAATGTAGCACGCACTAAAATAAAATTAGAGTTAATATACAAGGAATAACCTTTTTGGAGGCAGTGATAAAAACGATGTAGGAGATAAAAGTCTATATGAATAGTAACAAGGCTTGTAGTTTAAGACCAATGAGATTGGGCATGATGACCTGCATGAAATTTCCTCCCTGAAAGAGGAAAGAATAAACACAAATGTAGTATTAGAAAAGATCAAATAGTGAAGAACTTGACTATAAAAATGAAAGCCATTACTATACTATCAGAATGGAAAATAAACCTTCTTCAATAGTTAAGTGACTCAAGATATAGGATATTTTGGGAAAAACAATGTAAATATTCTAAACAGAATAAATAGGAGTTACATATTGCACAAAAGCTTTTCACCTCGTCAATCCATCAAAAAATGAGAGTAACTTCCATTGTTAATCAATTTTTTTCTCTTTTTCTTGCCTCTAAATATTATCCTGGTAATGTATGTCAATTAGTCAAGTATTACCTTGCACTGGTGATCAAGAAGTCATGATATTATCAGTCCTGTGACAATATTTCCTGTCATTATACCTCCCTGGGACACTATTTAGTTTTCTAATGTATCAAAAGTTTATTTTTTCCTGCTTCAGAGTTCTAAATCTGCCATTCAACCTCCAAGCATTTTTACTACATTTTTCTGATAGCAAATTATCACTTACTATTTTGGACCTGGCTCCACTCCTTTCTCCTCAGAGAGACCCTTCTAAACCAAAGCATACTCCATTCTTATCCAGTCCAGATATTCATTTCCTATGTGTAAGTAATAGCACCTAAAATCATTTTGTTAATCACTTTTCCTTTATCATTATCTGTATTGCACTCCCTGAATTATGAGACTTCAGAAAAAGATTTTATTCCTTGATTCATGCAGGTTAAGTCTCTCACATGTCGCTAAAATTATGACACAGTTATTCAACAAACAGATGTTGAATGAAAGTTTGAAAATATATGGTGATGAATGCTTAGAAATACAGTGAGGGCTGCTGTAAAGTAACCATTTTATACATGAGGGTTTAGGGAAACATAAAAGCCATGACAAGGGCATAATGGAAGGAAAACAGTTGTGGATGTGGAGAATTAGGAAGCTGTTGGAAAACATTGCCCCAAGTGCATAAGAAGGCAGTGGCTACGGATGACTTTTGGATCTGGAAAAGTAGGTAAGTTTTTGCAGACATGAGAGATCAGAAATAACTGGGTGAGAAGAGGAAATTAAATGCACAGATTAAGGTCTTTGGATACTTAAGTTACCAATTTCTGAATCACCCTTCAAGGTCAGGCTTTACAAATCCATGCCATCAGACACTTAAATGTTGCCAATTATGTATGCACACATACACCCATACCACAAGCTTTTATCTGAAAACCTGAAAGGAAAGAAGACTGAACCTGGCTTCCTCTTAGGCTCTGGACTAGTACCTCCATACCAGTAAAAAATCTCCTCTTTTCTTGTACTTAGAGAAGTCACAAATTATTAAGGTATAGTAGAAGAATCTCTACTCACACCTTAACAGATCCTGTCTTCTTGGCTTTTCAGCGACCGTGTGTACAAACAAAGACAAGCTTTACATGAAAACATAGAAAATAAGAGAATTTCACCATGTTATTAATTTCAGTCAACTTGAGAGGTTAGGGGAAAAATTAATTTGAAGATAAATCTTTTCTTTAACAAAATGCCAGGTAACACGCTTATGTGCCTTTTAAAATGATTATAAATTCTGGTCATAGGAGAAAATAGTATATACAGATTCCAACTTCAGGCACTCTGACTTAGGAAAGCCACCTTTAGGAAAAGTGGAGTGAATTAGAATGTTGAAAGAGAAAGCATGATCCTTAGAATAAGACTAGCTGAAAGGATTTGAAGGAGAAATCAATTCAAATTCATAGTACCTGCCAAGGAACGTCTTCAGTTGTGCTTATTGGCACAGAAGAATTATCACCAAACCGTGGATCAACAAAAGCACAGATTAATTCATTGTGAACACATATTATTTGGTGCCTACAGAAGTGCAAAGAAAGAAACTAGGACAAGGTTTTAGTCCTACATTAAGTTATATAACACTAATGTTTTCCTACACCGAATCAAATAATTTATGGGGTGTTCCCAGGTATTATGAGTTAGAGAAATTATCCCCTAAAGCCACAGAGAAAATATTCAGACATCAGCATACCATTTTCCCTTTGAAAAACAATTCGAACTAAATGGCATTCATAATTGTTCCATCAGAGATACTGAACCTTGTACCTAAATGAATCTCATGATTCCTGTGTCTTCCACATCGTGTCTGTGCTTAATGTTTTATCTGAGGACACTGAGGCTAGAGACAAAAATTCAGGAAAGGCTGGAAAGGGGAGTATCCTCTGGTGGGAGAAGAAAGAAAGTGGCTAAAATGAAAAATTAATGGAAGCAAAACTGAGATAATTGACTTAAATCTATAGTGGAAAAGGCTACAAAAATTTAAAAGGCAGCTTTCTTTTGAGGAGGCCTCCGGATACTATCTTAATGTAAGTATCTGAATAAACACTGCCCTTCTCCAACCTCACCCCTGGGCTGACCAGCCTTGCCTTGACAAATAGCCTCAGGGTTTCAGGTGAGGAGAGGGTCAAGGATGAAGAATAAAAGAACTTGCTTCTAGTTGTGGCACAGACTTGCTTCTGAAACAGCTGAGGCTGCCAATAAGCTCCGAGATGAGAAGTCATGGTTCATTTCATGGATGAAGATAAGGCTGCTATCGCAAGAATATGGAAAAAGGCAGATGTGGAAGCAATTGGAGGAGAAACTCTGGGAAGGTAGGTTCTGGAGCCAGGACAATGGAGGGAAAGAAGGAAACTATAGCTGGAGAAATCCAGGCTGGTCCATGGATTTGTGACAAACTCTGTCTTTCCAATTTTGTTGTTGCATCTCACAGGCTCCTAGTTGTCTACCCCTGGACCCAGAGGTTCTTTGACAACTTTGGAAAGCTGTCCTCTGTCTCTGCCATCATGGGCAACCCCAAGGTCAAGGTCCATGGTAGGAAGGTGTTGACTTCTTTGGGAGAAGCTATGAAAAACGTAGATGATCTCAAGAGCACCTTTGCCCCACTGAGTGAGCTGCACTGTGACAAGCTGCATGTGGATCCTGAAAACTTCAAGGTGAATCTAGGAGGGGTCAAGATGGGAAAATTTAGATAATGAAACAAAGATTTTCTCATAAATGGGGACACCTGTGGGATGTGAGATATTAGAAATATTGAAGCAGGGAGTAAAGCAACTCCAGAAGGTCAACTGAGTTGAGTAATATACTTGGCTTAGCAGATGCTTCTAGAAGTTGATAGGGACTTCTCTATACTTTACTTGCTTTGAAAGGAGATTTGTGCAGAGATGAGGAAAATGGGTGATTTAAACTCCATAGTCTGTAAAAAGAATCTCCTACAAGCAAAGTTGATGTAGGAATAACTCTGTTTTCCATATTTTTTACTTTTAAAATTCTGCTGGAGGCAGAAAACAAATGGCCGTGGAGAAGGTCCACTGAAATAGGCCTTCAGTGAAGGCCTCAGGGTAGCTGGAGGCGGAATAACAATGATGAGGCTCAGTAGAGGAAATGTATTCCAGGCCTTGGGACTTAAAGATCCAGACAAGCTTTGTGACAATTCTATTTAGTCCAGGAGAATTTCTAGGAGCAACTAGATTTTCACAACTTTTGTGAGGCTAGATAGAGTACTGGAGGCTTTGGTGGTCAGGACAGAAGATAGCTCTTCTTTAAGTCATCTCCAGAGAAATGGTCTTCTTATTTAGAAACTTTAGGTATTAAGGGTTGCTGTGTGCCTTAAGTTTAAATTGATACCATGACCTCAGGAAATACACTGTCTAAGTGTACAGAATGGTGGCCACATGTCAAGGAAGAGACATCACCATAAACTTCTGGGAGACATGAAGGTCCCTAAGGAAATAAACTAAAAGAAGTTTAGAAGCCAGCATCAGCATACCATGTCTGAGCTACAGGCCAGAACTGGGAAGTTAAAAGGGATTAAGGAGAATTTATACAGATTAACTGGAAGGGCAGATTCACCAGAGTCCTTATGATAAATTAATCCATATTTACAAGCAATAGTGAAAGGCAATATTGTCTATATTTGGTGGTCATGAATTCTTTCAGTTGTTCTTTGTCATGGATATGTCTTGTTTATCCATTAATTTTGAAAGATAGTTTTTCAGGGTACATCAATCGGGGTTGGAGGTTATTTTCTTTCAAGACTTGAAATGTCTCACTCTAAACTCTTCTTGATTTGATGGTTTGTGTTGAGAAGTCTGTCGTGATTCTGATGGGTTTTCCATTATAGGTGATCTGCTTCCTTTCTCTAACAGCTTTTCATATTATGTTCTTTTGCTGAATTTCTGAGATCTTGATTGTTATACATCTGGGTGTAGATTTATTTTGGTTATGGATCACTGGAATTCTATATGCGTCACTTATCTGAATGTCACTTCCTTTTTGTATGTTTGGGAATTTTTCTGATATTCTTTTTGTAAATAGCTTTTTAATTTCATTTGTGTTGACCTCTGCTTTTTCACTCACACCTGTTATTCTTAAGTTACCTTTCTTTTGGTTGTCTTGCAGCCATTGAATTGTTAATTCTTGGTTTCTTGTTATTTTTAAGAGATCTTTCTTTTAGCAATCACAAACTACAAACTTGTCTTCAAGATCTGAAAGTCTATCTTTAGCTTCTTTCAAGCAGTTTTGCCAGCTTTCAATGGAGTTTTTAAATTATTGGATATTTCTTTGAATCTGTTTCATGTGTTCTAGACTTTTTTTAAATATTGTCCATTTATGGTTTCCCTCATTTTCCTATCCTCCTCTATTCTTCTATCTATGTCTTCTTTAGAGGTGCTTAGCAATTCTTTTATGTTTCTCATTTCTCCTTTTACCTGAGACAGTATTTATGTTCTAATTTCCTTTATAGCCTCATGAAATTGTTTCTTTACTTCAGTTGCCATTACTTAAGAAATTAATATTGAAGGACATACTAGAGAGAGAAAAAGGACCATGGTTCTAGGAACAGTGGCAGAGGAAATATCACCGAGTAAGATAGATAATGGAATGGAGGGGAAAAGTAGGCAGCTAGTGGTAGGAAAATAGCATGGCAGAGATGAGGCAGAGCATGGTGGCCATAACTTTTATATAGAAGGCCTCAATTCACCAATAAAAGGAAACACAGGCAGAGTGGATCAGGAGACAAGATCCATCAATATGCTTTATAAAAGAAACACATTTATCTTGAAAAGAGTTCATACACTGAAAGTCAAAGGAGAGAGAATAATGATCTATGTGACATGGAATCAAAAAGAATTGGGGATAGCTTGCCCATCAGCTGCAGATTGGTTAGCAAGCCATGGCATTTTTATACAATAGAGAAATACTCAGCTATAAAGAAAGACAACCTTGAGGCCCTTGTAGGTAAATGGATACAACTTGAGATCATGCTCATGGATGAAATGTTTCAGAGTTACATGAATGAATATTGTATTATCTCCCAAGTATAAAAAACTAAAGGAGTTAGTGGAATCCAAAATATGCAATACATACTATGAAAGTGAAAGAGCAGGAAGTGTCTAAAAAGGAAGGCAATGGCCATTGTTAGTCTATCACTATGACTTGAAATCCATATTGTTTTCATTGCTCTGTTAAGTTCGGTTTTATTCTGTTTCAGTTTGTGTTGTAGTCAGGGTTTGTGAGAGAATAATTAGAATAAGGTCATGAAGTTTATAATATTATTTTATAATGATTATTGGGAGTTAACACAAGAAAATGCAGGAAATCTATCTGTAATACCAAAGACGTAGAAAATTTAGTCAAGGGCCTAAATCCCACAGCAATGCCCCACACGAAACCAGATAAAAACCCAGAGCTCATGACAATGCCTGCCTGGAGTCCAGCTGGAGGTCTAGAGCCCACAAGAAGGACCCACACCAGTCTTTTGTGGATCTGTGCTGGGTAGGTCCAAAGGTCAGCGGTGGAAGTCAGAAAGTCCATGCCAGCAGGGGGAAGGAGCTGTGTGGATGGGATAAGAGTTCTGCCCTGGAGCCAAGAAGTCACACTCACAACAAAGACCAGGGCTATCCCAAAAGGCACAGCAGCCATCCTCAGTGACACAGAGGCTCTGAGCTCCGCCAATGACAAGCACAGTTGGGTACATGCCAAGAAGCCAGTGTGACGAGTTCATCCTGGAGACCAAGCAGCACACATCTTTCTCTCTGGAGTCAGGAAGCAATGTTTGATGTGAAGACCAGAGCTTTTCCAGGAGAACCAATGGTTCAAACAGCAACTCATAGGAGAACCCACAATACCTCAATGCAACAACGCATTAATGCATCAATGCCTCAACGCCCTCCTTCTCCTTCTCCACCTATTTATCCTGGCAACTTTCCTCAGGTGGAGCATCTTCGCTCAGTGCCATCCTGATGTAATCCAGCTGGTGTTAAGTTAAGCATCAGTTCTTAATCCGTAACAGTTTGTCTAAATTAATTATATTTGATGGCATGGATAGCCATTTCAAAGATAACAAAATATGTTTTGGTAGCCATTATTGATTTCCTATTATATTGTTTTGAAGAATTGTATTGCTTTTATTGTTTTGTTTTGACTGATTTTATTTTATTTTGTTTAATGGTATCATGTCTGATGGTATAGGCAACTACTTTGGAGATAACAACATTGTGGTGGCCAATGTGGTTTTACTATTATTTTGTTTTGAAGTCTTTTATTGCCTGCATTGTTACTATTTTGTTTGATTTTATTATACCTGATGGTATGGCCAAGTCTTTTGAAGATAACAGGAGGCTTTATGGTAGTGATTATTGATTTCCTTGTATTTTGTTTTAAAGTCATGCATCATGTTTATTGTTTTCTTTTGATTGGCTCTATTCTGCTTTATTTCATTTTGTTTTATCCTCTTCAAAATAAAAAAAAAAAATTAAAAAAGAATGGAAAGCAACAGTCAGGGAAATTAGACTAGCTTCTTTGTATGTGCCAAGAGATTAGAGAGCATGTTAATGTTACATGTATAAACTTCTATGGTTTAAGTGCCTTGGAAATAAATCCCCACTAAACTCTCACCAGCAGTTCATGAAAAGTAAGTTTGAGTCCATCTTTCTAATCCTGGTTCTTTTCCTTCCCTTGACTTATTTTCTTTGGCCTCATAGTGTCTTTATCTATGAGGAAACGCCAACATTTTGATGTTTGATTGTTTTCTTCTTTCTTTTTTTTCCCAGCTCATTAAGTTTTGTACTTGCCCTTTTTGCTTTCATGAATTTATTTCTCCCAAGTGTTTGTGACTGGATCCTTCTTGTCTTTCAGTCACTGCCAAAGTGACTTCCCTTACTGTTGGGAGCCACAGCCCCGAGCCCGGTCGCCTCACTTGGCGGACGTGAGGCCTGTAGTAAAGAGTGAAGCCTGAGGTAGATTGCCCCTCCCATCGAGCACGTTAGTTTCCTGCTTACCGCGTAAGCAACCCGCTCAACAATATAGTCTGCCTGGCAACTGATGATGTTAGCCAATCAGCTTGCCTTGCTTACTTTAACATGATTGGACACTGTACCCGTATATATACCGGTGCCACCCCTGGGCGGAAGAAGAAGCCAGGTAGAAGCCCGGAAGTAGAAGCCCAAAAGGAGCCGCGGAGAGCGGACCGGTAGAGGCTTTGGGGCAGACTGAAGCACAAAAGGAGCCGAGGGGAGCGGACCAGAGGAGGCTTCAGCTGGGAGAACCCAGGGCAGGCTGTACGGAGAAGAAAAATAAAAAGAAAAGGTTGTCCACTACCAGACTTTGTCGTGTGTCCTTCCTGCCGGCCGGGAGCGGACATCGACACCTTACTACACCCATTCTGTATTACTTTTCTGTAATCACCTTTTGTATTTTTTTCTGTCTAAATTTATTTACTTTTTAATCATTTCTGTTGGACTCTCCAGTCATATGAGGCCACATCAACTGTCTTGTTCACTAATCATGCCCAGTGTTTAAGTCAACATATAACATGAAGGGATTCACTCAGTGCTTGGGCGTTTTTGAACATATATGAATGAATGTTTGAGAGACTATTAGATAATTGTGATGATAATCTAGTATTGATGTGCTAAAGATCCAGATGTCAATGGAAATAGTGAACAAGCAAATGAACTAAATGTATGGGACAGTCATGATTAAGAAAGGATAGTCAGGAACAGCCAGTATAGTCAGGAAAATCAGGAATACGGATAGAAAAATGTTCAGATGGTGATTATCTAAAGTTGGTATGAGAAAAGCTGGAATCAGATATAGTTGCAGGAATCATTGTCTGGCTGCTAGAAAGAGGGGGAGGCCACTCATTGACATGCAGATTTTAAACATCCCTCAGTCAGGTGGGAGGGCTGGTTGTGAGTGCATACCTTGTTGGACATAGGCACTGGAGACACTAAAAGGCAAGCACTCTGAGTGGAACTTTGAGACCAGTCTCTCTTAATGATCAACCCGTTCTTGGTATCTTAATAATTGTCACTGATATTTTGCATTTGTTTTCAACTATGAAGAAACAACTCTAATTATACCAAATATATAAAAATTATCTTTTTTAAATAGAAGAACTTTAGGTCTAAGATATTGGATCTAAATATTGGAGTATAGTATTCCTATAAGTACAGGCAGACTTTATTCAGTAAACCTTAGCTTTGTAAGAATTTATCCCATGAGGAAAAAACAAAATCAGCTTCCTGGAGTTCTAAATGTGGGATCCATAGGCTCTGAAAAAAAATAACATGAGATGTTCATTTCATGATTAAAAATGTGCACTATATATTTCTATAATTGCTTTTTTTCAAATAAGCAAGAACAAAGTACTTGAGGTCAGAGATGTAGAAGGTAGGGGTGGAATAATGTCAGTGATGACTCTCTTGGTTTGATTAGATAGGAAGAAAAGTTAAATTCTATAAATGAAAGAGTATAGATCCAGCATAGATTACACATAGATCACTTAATCTCTGAGTTTTGCCATAGAATCTTATATTTTTCTTTTCACTGAAAATATAAACACTCATTTCCCCTCACACCCAATTAAGTATTTTCTGACATGAATGAGTAGCTACATGGCTTTGGCAACAGAGATTTGCCATGTAATGAAAGTGGGCAAATTTTGCTCAGGCATCGTATATATTAACAAAATGCACAAATAAAAAAGTAATGCTCACTTCTTGCTTAAATTACCCTGATATTCTCTATTATATTTCCAAACTTATACTGGATTCAGATTTTATTCCATTTAAGGGAGCTATAGAACCATGGGGCTCACCTGAACTTCAGGAAAACTGACAACCAAAGAACAGCTAAGGCATTTTCCATCTGTACCATAGCAGAACAATAGAATGACATTTTGTTACAGCGTGGGATTAAAGCCACAGCCCATTTATGATTCTTAACCCTGCTAACTCTAATCCATATTCAGGGTCAACTACAGTTCATTGTAAGGACAGTTAAGGTAGGAGTGATCATAGAAGAATGAATGGGAAAGGATGACAGAATCTCCTTGAATGGGTCACCTAGCACTTTCAGAGACACAAATGTCTATCTCAAAAAACACTTCTTGTACCAGCTCTATCCTGGTTCGCATTGATTGAATATATCCTCAATTTATTTTATACTACAAGCCAGAGGTAAAGAATTAAAGACAACACAGAAAGGCATCAGCACAGACCTGTTGTAGCTCATCTATGATTACCAGTGAACCCCAAGATTGGACAGCTTGGTATATTTTATTGCAAGGAGGGAGCTGTGGATGCTTGCTTGTGGACCCAGGTAAACATGGAGAACAGAAGTGAGGTCCTGGTCAGGTTGGCCATTGATGTCAGGGGAGGTAGAAGAAAGCACCAAGTGTTCTTGAAAGAAGTAATGGTCAGGTTTCTTACATAATCCAAGTTTCATCTGTCCTGTAACCATGACTGTCCTGTTCTCTCTTGGTACTCTATTGTCCGCTCCTGAACCTAGCAAGTCTTTAACAATCTTGAAAACCTGTTCCTTCTCTGGCTCTTTGATAATGAGCAGTAGTGAAGTGGCATGGAAATGATGGTGAAATGGTGGACAAGGCTGGAATTAAACCCATGTCAAGAGAGTAATGGTGTTTTTTTGTAGGCACATGACCCTTAAAGTTGTTTATGGTCAAGAGAGAAGTAGTTGTATCTATTTATGGGAGGCCAGGTTGAGATATTCCACTCACAAAGTACCATTTTCTTTCTGCCTCCAGCCCCTTACCATCTTCTAGGTGATGTGATATTGATTGTGTTGACAACGTCTCAGCAAAGATTTTGGTAAGACTCCCAGGCTGGGGCTGAAAACTCTGTGGTGAATGCTTTGGCCTATAAGCACCACTGAGTTCCCTACCTGTTAATCGATGCTTTCTGAAGGGGCTTGTGTGTTCAAGTCTATATTCTAAAGGGATAGTGGGGGAAAATTCTCTGCCTCCAAATTCATTTCCAGTATTACAGGAAAAGAATGAAAACTTAAATGTCATGCTCTCTCAGGAATATCATTGTGTTCTGCACTGTCCTTATCATTTATGTTGATTCAGCTGAAAGGTGATACTGCAGTGAGAATGGGAACATCAGGAACTAGGAGTTTGGGAAGGAGAAGAGACTTTCATACTATTCTGCAAGACAGTATCTTTAGAAAAGCAGAGAGTACAGAAATGTTCTGTAGAAATGTAAGAGGATTGCTGAAAGTGGCTGGAAGTATGTTAGGACTCAGATAATGTTCCTATATATGTTTCTATTTATATAAACTCAGAGCTCATCTGGTAACTACAATTCATATCTATTCAACATAAGATACATATTTTTCCAGCTATAATGCACAGAAGGTGGCATGAATCTTCTTTTAGTATTCTCAATATTATTAATAGGAAATCATCCTTAAGTCTTATAAACTGAATGCCTTAGTTTTCATCTCTATTCACTTGTTAGGTATATGATCAAAACATTTCTTGAAGCCTCCTAAATTCATGTATTTATTTTCTTGAAGGTATTTCTGTGAAGCGAATTAGTGGTTTTAAAGCCTTCATCAAACTAACTGATGCATAACCAGTCTCTCTTTCAGCATAGCCTGAATAATACTAATGATTTAGCAGGACCCTATCTCAGTAAGTAGAAGGGTGAGTGGGCAGATAGATAGAGATAGACAGATAATAGATAAATGGAAAAGATGGGGATGTAGTTCTGTAGAAAAACCCTGGATTCAATCTTGTGTACCACAAAATCAGACAAAATACAAGAGTACTAAGTACAAAGTTTATATTGTGTACATATTTGGAATGAATGAATAAAGTCTGACAACACCAGATTTCTCTTGTTTACATTATAATAATTTCATAACTTAAAGAGATGGATGGTTGAGTGATAAAAGTGGGGATTTTGGTTCTAAAAGGACTATACAATACGTCAGTATGTATAGATCACGTTGTCTGTTGTGCTGTGTTTCTACACAATTGTTAACTTTTCTCCTTCATCTCTTCTGCACTGTTTCTTAAGCAAGTATATAGTTTGATCTTTAGGTCTGAACTCTTAAGGGTAAATTCACACATTAAAGTGTATGCAAAGTATATGTTTTATATAGGTGCCTTCCAGGTTCCCGAGACTCAGCAAGGGTATTTTATTTTATATTATTTTATTTTACTTTATTATTGCTGAAACAATTTGCTTCTAGTATTTTTCCACTTTAGCCAAATGTATATTCACTTGCCTTTTCACTTATACCAGAAACTTAACATCTTCTTGGATTCTTCTGTTTCCTTGCCAATAGTCAACAATCAAGCTTTGCTTGAATTTTCCTCTCTTTTATTATTATTATTATTACTATTGGCAAGATCAGGTCCTCCTTGTTTACTGGACCCAAGTAGAAACTCTTCTTTCTACTTTAAGACATCTTCACATTCTATGCACTCTTATCAGTACAATCCATAGGAATGTGATCATGTATGTCTCTTGTGTAAAATCATGTAAGGTAGAAGAGAATTCAAGGGCAAAGTAAAATCTCTAGAGTTATCAGAGATCCAGTAATATGTCTGTAGCCTTCAAAATTTACCTTTTTTCAGAACTAATTCCTATGTTTGTAAAATGTGCTAATGATTCTGCCTCATAGATTGCAAGAATTTAAAGAGATTTTGATCAGTGCATTTTTATCATTTCTGAACAAATGGTAGAGTTTTATATAACACACTGCGATACATTTCTCTATGCCTTGTTCTACTCTGTGTTCTTGATCTGCCTGTATGTGCTCTTTTTAGGCTTCAACCTTATATAACTAAGTATTTCCTTTAGAACTGCCTATGGGGTCAGCCTTATATTCTGTCTAAGGCTGAACTTCCAATTTTATTCTAACATTGTTCTTGAAAATTTGGCCCATACTCACATTTTCTTTTTTAGTGACTACATCATCATCTCGGACTAAACTCACGAACAGAGGTGGCATCGGTGCTTTTTTCCCTACTGCAATCCACCTCCTGCTACTTATCTCTATTTTCCTACTTGTTAAATCCACTTAAGCTGAGAAGTGAGAATAACTCTTCAAATTATTCTACCTGCTTTCTTGAATTGTTCAATATCTTTGGTATTGGCTTATATGTTAAAGAAAAACAATCTGTTACCATAGTTTAAACACCATTTGTGGCTCTTCTTCTTACCATGTAGTACTTTTCATTGAGATCAGAAACTGCCATTTTATCACTTTTTCAGTAATCTTCAGTAGTTTTTCAGTAGTTCAGAGTTTTGCAGTTAGAAGGATTCACAAAAGAAGGAAGAAAGTTATCACTATGGCAAAATATTTGTGTATTCTGCCTTAATTCTATTTACTCCATTTTAAAACATCATTTATTTGATTTGTTGATCAAACTAAAGAAATAATTGAACACAAAAAAGTCCTGACAAATGAATGCATGAGTATTTATTTCTTACCAGGAGGATTTAATCCAAATGAAGAGAAGTAAGGCATAACTAGAACCATGAGGGAAGCTTAATCCATTTTCCTTGTGATTAATTTGCATGTCCTGGAGACACAGGAGATCCATCCATGCTCTCTTATGCTGGAGAACAGACAAATCCCTTCCAATTTTGGTGCCTCAATTCTTTTTCATTTGTATAGTAAAATTGAGAAAGTAATGTCTAATCTACCTACTAAATAGTTACTTCAAAAAATTGTATAAGATTTCCAAAAAGAAGCAGTTTGTACTACTGAGATGGGACCAGAAGGTACCTAGAGAGTGGGCAGGTCTTCTGAAGTCAGAGACCTAAACTGATGTCAGTACTGCCAAGCACAGGTAGAGCTGTCATCAATCAGGCCCCACCCTGCAGAGCCACACCCTGGCCTTAGCCAATCTGCTCACAGGAGCAGAGAGGGCAGGAGCCAGGGTTGGGCATAAAAGGCAGAAAAAGACCGGCTGCAGCTTACACTTGCTTCTGACACAGTTGTGTTCACTGGCAACCCAGAAACAGACACTATGGTGCACCTGACTGCTGCAGAGAAGTCTGCCATCTTAGACCTGTGGGGCAAGGTCAACGTGGGAGAAATTGGTGCCGAGGCCCTGGGCAGGTTGGTATCAGCTTATGTGATGTGTTGGGAGGCCAAGGGAATCTGAGTATTTGGCAACAGAGAAGTTTCATGACCTGTTTTCACTCCTTAGGCTGCTGGTTGTATACCCATGGACCCAGAGGTTCTTTGAGAAATTTGGGGACCTGTCTTCTGCTTCTGCTATCATGAGCAATGCGCATGTGAAGTCTCATGGCGCAAAGGTGCTGGCTTCCTTCAGTGAAGGCTTGAAACATCTGGAAGACCTCAAGGGCACCTTTGCTAAGCTGAGCGAGCTGCACTGTGACAAACTCCACGTGGATCCTGAGAACTTCCGTGTGAGTCTGTGGGATCAACCTCAATAGCATCCTTTGTTTTTTCTTCTCCAGCCAAGTCCTCATCATACAGGGCGTTAGGATTAGGGACTAGTCAGGAATGAGAATGTGCTGTCCGTATCCCTGTGGCCCTCTGAAGAGCATTTAGTACACCTTATTCTGTGCTCAATACTATTTTCTTTCTCTCCTGCTTTCCTCTTTTTCTGTGATTTTTTTCTCACTTTTTAATTAAACTTTTTATTTTAAAACAACTTTCTTCTATTTCTCTGGTTTTTTAATTTGTCTTCTTTCAAATACTTTCTCTAGCCTCTTTCTGGACAAAGAGGATAAAATGTACTGTATTTCTTCACATGGGTTTGGACAATAACCGTTGCAATATATTTTTTTCAGTGAGAGCATTAGGGACAAATAGTTCTGCCTGTAAATTCTGGCTACCTTATCAGTGGTATCAACTATTCAGCTTTGTTGTCAGTTTTTGGTTACAGGCAAAGGCACAGGTGGAGATGAGCTTGAAATTTTTTTTTTTTTTTTTTTAGCTTGGTGTGTTCACATCTCTCATTTCTTTTTCACAGCTCCTGGGTAACATGATTGTGATTGCTCTGGCCCATCACCATCCGTCGGAGTTCACCCCTTGCACGCAGGCTGCCTTCCAGAAGGTGACTGCTGGTGTGGCTAATGCCCTGGCTCACAAGTACCACTGAACATTCTTTTCTGCCACCCACCTCTTGAGGGAGGTTTCTCTGTCCCCTGAGAACAACTACTAAATACAGGGGAAATTATGGAGTTCCTTGAGCATCATGCTTCTGCCTAATAAAGAACATTTCTTTTCACTGCAATAATGCGTCAAATTATTTCTGCATCTCTCAGGAGGTAATGGGGAGGGCAGGGAATTTAACACATGAAAAATAGCATTTAGTTCAGATCTTGTGGAAACACAGATATCCTTCGGCTTCCATGAAGGATGGTGGGGCCATCAAGAAGTCATGGTTGTGGGGTGCAGCCTCTGCTGCTATTCCTTGCTTATCACTCAAAACAAAAAATAAAAGACTCAAATGAGATGGTTTAAGGTGGGAATTTTGCTACACATTATTCTAAATTATTATTTTTTTAGTCTTCCTCATAAATGTCTCTTCTGCCTCCAGTTGCTTGCTCAGCCTCTACTCCACGAAATTCTTCTTTATAAAGTTACCACCAATTCATGCAGTTTTCTTTCATGGTTTACTGGCCACATTCCTCTTCCTTCCTGACCTCTCCTCTCCCTTAGTTGACCTATTGTCGTATAGACCTGCTAGTAGAAGAGACACGTAGAGAAGGAAGTGAGCCACCTTGTCTCTTCAACCCTTGTTTCTAGTCTCTACCATTAACACTGACCCAAAATCTGCAAGGTTGGTCTCCCAGGACCAGCGCTGCTTTGCAGTCCGGATTGTCAGGAGCAGACACCATATACCAGGATTTTAGATGATCTAAAATGGCAGCCTCACTAATGAAATTTATAGATGATAGGTTTCTTAGCCAGTGCTCGTGGCATGTACAGGGACTTCCTTAGCCTAGGCAACTAGTTCAGCTCTGCATCAGTTCTGTTAGAAGGGAGATAGGAAGCATAGACACGCCCAATAAAGTTTAGTCAGTTGCTCTGTTGATATGGAATAAATTGCTTCTTTTGATCCTTGGGCTCATTTGGTTGGAAACACACATACCTTCCAAGATATAATACTAAAATTTTATTGGACATACTGAAATAAATAGTATTAACTATAACAAAGTAAATATGCCAGGAAAAGTTCTCAAAAAAAAAAAAAAGACAGCATTATTGCGATTGTTACTGTTTCAAACACTATGATTCTGTGAAAAAAATCGTAGCAAAAAATATACAAATATCCCAGAAGACCAAAAATTTAGATAATTTTGGAAAGCACAAATTTTAAAAGAAAGAGTATGTAGCAACTCCTTACCAAGTGGTAAACCACATCTATCAGCAGTGCCAGAACATAACATGGCACTATGAAAACATCGTTCACTACTTGTCCACCCTGATAGTAGAACTTGTTGACTCAAAAGCTAGAGCATCAAAGAAACAATTTAGAATTTATGAGTAGAAGCCTGTGCTGTCTGAATTTGCTCAACTGAAATTGACCTGAGTATTGGTCAGATTATGTAAAGGGAAAGTATATAAGAACATATAGTCTAATAAATCCAGATGAAATTAGGATTGGATTAGCTGCCAAGTAAACATTAAATGAAGGTGGAAAGAAGAATTGTGGAGATGTCTAAACAAGTTGCTGCATAACTTCAGGAACAGACAAATGAGGAGCAGGGGGAGCACAAGGAGTCAACCAAGGAGCATAAAAATAGAGGCAAAAGACTAATGATGAGATCCCAGTTGTTGGTTCCTTGGTACAGTTCCTATGGGATCAGTCAGGGCTCTATTCATAAAGTCCCCACCCACGCCAATGTCTTTAAGAGTTTTACTTGTTCTATCTTCCAGCAGATTTAATGTTTCTGCCTTAATATCTATCCTTGGTCCATTTGGATTCCAGTTTAGTACGGTGGTGAAAGTCATGAGTCCAATTTCAATCCTCCACACATGCAAGGCCAGTTCTTCCAGCACCACTTAACAAAGAGGCTATCCTTCTTCCAGTGAACACACCCAGCATCCTTGTCAAAATAAGGTGACAGGACATCTGGAGTTGTTTCTGTATCTTCCAATCTGCTCCACTGATCCTTGGGTCTGCCTTCCTGCTAACACTGCACTGCTATCATCACAGTAGCTTTATTATATAATTTCAAGTCAGGATTGGGACGCCCCTGCTTTGCCTTAGTTGCCCAAAACGGCCTTTGCTACTCTAGGTCACTTCTGGATCCAGATGAATTTTAGGATTGTTTTCTCTAATTCTGTGAGACATGCTATATATAAAAAGAGTTAAGATAGTTCTCCGAATTTCTCTTAGTTTATTGAAAAGAAAAGTTTGCGCTAATATTGTTTGGATAAGTAAATGCTAATACCTTGTACTCTGAGTAACTAATTTAAAGATGACAATATGCAATATATTAACCTCTTATTATCTTGCTTTGTCATTGTGGGGTTGTTTTGTCTTTAAAATAAAAAATGCTAATGATAGAGTCTGGGTTCTATAAAATACTTTCTTCTAGTTTTTTCCCTTTTAATCATTAATAGATTTTTAAAAAATATGATGTAAAGGGAAATAATTTTTCAGTAAACATTACAGATTATCAGGCTAATTGGCATCAGTGAAAACGTAGTAAGTCAGAAGTAAAGTGTTAAGCATACAGAATTTTGTAAAATTAGGTAGCAACTGGATGCTGTTTTACTCCTGTACCAGCATTATCAGTAGGGAGAGAATAATGAAAGATAACACAGTTCATTTGCATGTTAGAAAATCACAATTTTTGTTCAAAAGTCAAATATAATATATATTTTATATGGAAAAGAATCTCACATTGTGATGGTCATGAAAATGCATAGAATATTTAGTTACTCATATTAAAAAAATGAGCCAGAGTCAGAGTTGTTCCCAAATTACTTTTGCTATTAAAATTTGCTTTATATGGTTGCTAATTTTTCTTTTAAAGCTTGTTTCAACTTTTGGATTATCTCTGAGCAATATTAAAAATATACATTTACCAAATTCTTATAATTCTATGTGAGGCAGGACTCTCAGAAATATGGGACGGAGAAATAACACTGACAGACAGGGATAGAGAAGGTTTTACCCAAAGTACCCTCAAATATAGAATAACTACTTTTTTTTTTTTTTGCTAAAGATAATGGCAGAATTGGTGAGTCACTTGACTTCATGGGAAATTAGTATGGTATTCCCCTCACACTGTCCTCTTTCTTTTACATCAAATCACTTGAAAAAAAGACACAATCACCTTCATTTTGAAGCTGACTCAAGGAGACTAAGAAATGTCTCTTGAGAAAGTCTGAGCAGAAAGTAGAGGTCAGTCTGGCTCCGTGAAGGCATGGAATGACTGTGGGGCAGGGTTTGCCAGTCTTGGGAAGGCCTTGGGGCGGGGCTCTACCTCTCAGGAGCAGATTAAGTGGGAGCAGCAGGAGACTTTACACAGCCGCTGTCAGGCCCTGCCCCCCCCCCCCCCCCCATCTTCTCAGTTCCTCTGCCTGCTGGCTCACTCTGGAGGCAGGATTAAATTGTGCATTTCACACAGCGAAAACCAATGTACTCTAACCAAGATTAGGCCTGGTGAGGACAGCAAACAAAACAAAACGAAAGAAAAAGCCTTGGATAGGATGTGAGTTTCTTGTACACTTAGATGTACTGATATTTTTCTTTTTATGTTTCTACTAAGGACAACTTGACTTCTGCTGGAAAGGAGAATTCTTTCCTTGTACAGTTCTCAGACAAGCATGAGCAAAAATGTCACTAGTTGTCACTCGAAGATACACACTATGAATAATATAAACTGGCTGGGATTCAGTTTCTTGAACTGCAAATTGAGAATAATAATAATAATAATAATAATAGTAAATATCTGCACAGATATGCTTAAAAATCTAAATGTAACATAATATGCAAAGGGATCAGTTAAAAACCTGCAAATATAGAGGTTACCATAAGAGAAAGTACCCACAATGTCAATACTTGACAAAATAATACCAAATTCCAGTGAAAGCCTGAAGAATTAGGCAGTATATGTTAAACATGTATACAAGCGTACCTTGTATTCCCAGCATTTTCCACAAGCATAATATGTGTACTGAAATGTGTAATATTGATAAAAGCATTATTTATTTTAGCCACAAGCTATGAATGACTCAAATATCTATCAACCATGGATTAATATTGTAGGTTATACCTAAAGTGGAATACCACTAAGCAATGAAAAATTATTCACACATTGTAAACAATCCACAAATACAGTGCTGAACTTGGTCTAAAGGAACATGAATTGATTATGAGAGAAATGAATCAAAACAGGGCAGTGATTATCTATAGAAACAAGAGATGACAGAAGACAAATGTGGGGCTTTTTTAATTTAAAAAGCAAAACACAAAAAAGCATAGAAATGATCCAGAATTTCCACAAAAGGAAAAAAAGTAAAGAATTAAAACTAGTTAATATGTTCCATATTATTATCTCAGAATTAGTTGTTCAGGTTATAAAATCTAGGAACAAAAATGATCAGTCAGACAATGACAGAACACACTGTCCTTTTGATGAACAGACATTACTAGCAGAGTTATCTATCTAATGCACATATACATGTATACATTTATATATCTTTATCAGCATAGATATAATCTTTTCCTTTCTTCCTTATTTTCTTTCCCCTATTCCAGTAGTTCTATCCTTTTGAGCACTTTCTTTCTCTTTCATTATTAAAATATCTATTGTACTGTTTGGATCTTATTACTCTTTCAGATTTTTATTTTTTATTTTTATGTTAGGGGGACAATATTTATAAACGTGAGTTTGATTTATTTCACTTATAAGTATGGTCTCAAATTGCCTTCATTTACCTGTAAAAGCTTCAATATTATCCTTTTTTATAGCTAAGTAATATTCCATTGTATAAAAATACCACATCTTTTTCATCTGTTCTGTGGTTGATGGGCATTTGGGTTGTTTCCAAGATTTAGCTATTACAAATTTTGTTGCTTATAAACATGGGGGCACATATATTATGATATTTTCATTTTTTTCTGGGAACGTACCCAGAAGAGGAATAGCTGGATTCAATGGGACTTCCAATTCTAGTTTTTTGAGGAATCTCTACATTGATTTCATCAGTGGTTGCACCAATCTACACTCCCACTAGTTTGATGGCAGCCATTCTTTTGGAGTGAGATGGAATCTC